ATATTTATATATAAATATTCATGTATGTCCCATCATTTTCATGGTACTCTATTGATGTGAGGCATGCTATAGGTCACACACAAAGAATATAAAAAAGACAGGAATCACAGGGGTCACGAGAGTCTGTCCACTACTGGGATGTTCCCTTCCTCTTGAGATGCAGATTGAGATCTGCTTCTCTCAGGTGCCTGGAAGCTGTAAAAATCTCAGATAACTGGAAACTAATTTAAGAGACAGAGAATATCTGCCAACCCTTTTAAGGCCTCTATTTCTGCATCGCTCTTACTTTTAATGGGTAGCCATTTGGGATCCTTACCCACGGTCCTGGGAGGTTATCAACATAACCACTTAACACTTCAGCCTCCACGTAAAGATTCTCTGGGGAAAACAGCTCAGCTATCAAAGTTTGTCTTTTCTTAGCAATTCTTCATTGTGGCGACTCTGATGTCTTTAAGCAGGTGTTTTTAGTATTTTGTTCCCGTTTGGTTTTTTAGACATACTCAACAAAAGCTGTGTTCCAAATTACTTGGTCAGTCGTTACTGTAAATGTCTTTTTTTTCTAGTTCTATAACTTATAATTATTACTAGCTCCCATATGTAGACAAATGATAATTTATAAGAGCAGATGTGTTTCAACATAGCCTCACCTATTTAAGCAAAATATTTTCATCCTAGAAAAAATATTATAGAGCATCAACTTTCCCCATTAAATTATATAGAATATTTCCATTTTTGGAGATTTCCATAATTTGGGAAAGAAAATTTTATTACATACTGAATATTTATGGCTAAGATATGAGCCTGTGAATCATCATAGATTTACAAAAATTTCTAGATTAGTTGGTATTCTGCTAATATCCTATATGAAAGTCTCTTAAATGTTGAATATTCCTATAAATTATATGCTAGATTGCCCAAGGCTGAATTGCTAAATGGAAATTGTACTGTTTAAACCAGCACGCTGTAGTTAATGCCTATGATGCTAACACATATGAAGAATATTGTTTTTC